CGCCCCCCCAGGATTATAAGTATTGCGCGCTCTTTTGAGAAAACATGAATCGCAAATCGGACAAAGCCCCATACAAAATGTACTGCAGTAAAAGATCTAAAATCTTAAAAGATGTAAATAATCATGCATTGTTCACCCTTTGTTGATTTTGCTCACAGTTACCTGCAGACCATTAGAAACAGCAGTAGCCGGAGTACAGTGTATGATGTGTGAAAGGCCTGTGTATACGCTGCCTGTGATACTGAGCTTTCATGTCATAGCATGCTTTGATGGAAATGCTAGGGGTGATCAAAGCTTGAACATACAAAAGGAGCAGATAGTGAGGAAGCAAAGGAGAAAATTACTAAGCCATGACAATCCTGAACCATGACAGTGAGCAAAGCTTAGATTTAAACATTGAAAATTGATTTAAAGAAACACTTTACAGCTTTAGAGGTTTATATACGTTAGCAACGTGATTCTAAATGTGATAAGAAAATCCAGTTAAAGATCTTAGCAGGGCTCAGCAGGAAGTCAGTTTGGAGCAGAGAACTCTGCCTTCTTGACCGATTCTGTCCTCGTTCCCCTCCAGGTTAGACTTGGTAAGTTTACAAATTCCAAGTATTTCTGTCCTTTTATTCTTTGTTTTTTGGGGGGTCAGAGGGGAGGTGGACGTATTTTGTGCAGTTTCTACGTTCACTGCCGCAATTGTTATATACGCGGTTGCGTCGCTTGCAATCAATCACAACTATTATTCTTTGAATCTTTTTAATTGGATTTTGTCCCAGTATTACATGTAAAACAATGCCCAGCTATTGCTCTCGATGAAAGGGCCTGGTACATTTATTGGGAAGCGGCTAAATTAGTTGTTGCCCTAAGAGGTGTGTTGAGTCTTTTGGGATGGAACTGGTGAAGGGAGACAAGTTGCTTCAGGGAATCGGGGTGAAATTAAATTGTTCGTTTCCTCTTTTTTCCTAGGCCCTGGTATTACCTGCTTTGCCTGCAAAGAACTTCTGATACTTAAACCAGCCAGACAATAATTGTAGATCTGCTGTGGGGAGGCTCTGGCATAGGGAAGGCTGAATTTAGAAGGGAAAAGGCACAAATAAAATTGGGGCTAAAGTGTTAAAAAAGCCTTTCTAAACTGCGTTTCTCCTCAGTCTTCAGAGCTTGTACATATTCATTTGCACGCTTTTAAACATCCCCGATGGGTCATGACACCTACCAAGGTTTAGAAGTGGTTGTGTATGAGTTCTTTATGTGATGAAGGGCTTTTTTGTCATATGATCTCGTACGAGATCTTTCATACACATACATTCGTTGTTTACTTACCTGTTTTATATAATTGGAATCCCGTTTCATCATCATCCTGCAGCATTTATAAAGAAAAGCACATTTTTAGTATACCTGTCCTCATTGTTGTTATTCTTAATTGTGTATTAGATGTCTCTTGTTCTTGTACTTTTGTTTTTAGTATTTCCTGTGTATTACCTATTGTTGTGGTGTTTCCACACTAACACTAACTCATTTTTCTTGTTTCTTGTTGACTGTCCGTTTTGTCGGGTAACAGACCCTGACTCACCTTTGATTCACACAAATCCTTACCTGCCCATCAGGGCGAGCAGGGGATGGAGCCAGTCTTTGTTTAGATATAACCTAATCTTTTCTGTGTGCTGTTTCACAGATAGCTTTCATCTTAAAACTCTAATATGAAGCTTTCTTAAATAGAAACTTGTTCTGCACCTCATTTTGATTTCCTGTGCAGGTCCTTCTGACCTGCCCTGTGACGTAAGGCCAGGAAGTTTAATGACACTGTCCCATACAGTACCATTACTTTTACAGCAGCTTGATGATTTTTGACAATTCATCAGACAGGCCCATAGTGGGCGTGGTAATTCAACAGACACGCTCATAGTGGGAGTAACACCCAAAACGAGTTCTCTTTTATTCCGTAGAGATCCATTGTATGTCAGGCAACCCACCTGAATGAGAGAAGTTTCAAAACTCAGAAATCGGTACAGGGTTGACACCCAATTATGGATCCCGTTTGTAAAGAGCTGAAGAAAAATGTGCAAATATGCTCCAGATTTAAAACTGAAATCAATTAGGCTGCGATTAAGAACTTGATCAAAAATCAACAGACAGGACTGGGAACCATGCTATAGGGACACATCTGGACAGCTGGGATAGCAATAAATACCACCTCATTTTAAAAGTCATCTCACATAAGTAGAGTTAAAAAGAAGCTTTCTATGCAGATGTTTACTGTACTTATTTCTGCTGTTTTCAGATCATTTCTGGATGTGTGCTTACATAGTTAATTAAGGTGGTGTTGTTAAATATGCATAAAGGACAGTACACTTATCACAGCTGCCCTTTTCCTGCAATAATACTGTTGCCCTAGGACTTTTACAGTGGAAGAGTAAAGACTCTGGGAACCTAAGGTAACAAGTACAGAAGCTGAAATGATATTGTACCATACTGTATTTCAACCAGCAAGCTAAAGAAGGGAAATTCTTCAAGCTGAAGAAAGGAAATGCAGACAGAACATCTTTTGAGCTAAACTATAATGAGTACTTCCAATCAGTGCATTCTAATGCAGATGATGTCATCAAATGTCTGTCCTTCAAATAGCTGGGGGGTATTGGTATTCAGAAACCAACCATATTGTATTAAAATTACTCCTATCAGTTCAGAGCTAATTTCTTATGCAGGATCATTTCAGCGGCGAGGATTATGCAGGACTGCAGAGCATTTAGAAATGAAGGACAGAAAATGTAGAAAGCACAGTACTGAAATTGTGCAGCAATTGCACAATTGCCACACATTTAATATTACTGGCCAGCTTTGCCCTGGCAGGGTATTGATAATTAAAGTTTTGAGGGCCTACTGCATGATGTTTTCAGCTCAGTGTCTGTGAGAAGGAGCATCCTCTCAATGGCCAAGAGGGTTACTGGTTCCAGTCATTATCAGTGTTCTGCTGACATTTTAGGTTTTACATTGATATTTTATTACATTTTATTTCAGCTTCTTTTCAATAAGAATGATGGAATTATGCAGCATCTCCTGAGTTTTCGTACAAAGAAACAAAACAATCCTCCTTTTGATTTCAAAAGGATATGCATGAGACTCCAAAGAAATTTCCATCTGAAAAGTGATCCGTCTCCTCGGTTGTAAACTGTTGAGAAAATGTGCAAGATTCAGCTTACACTTTCCTACAGTCTGCCTAGGGTTGCAAACCCTCAACTAACTGAAACACTGACTATGTCCAGTGTCATTTATGTGTTGGTCACAGTCATGTATTCTTACAACATTTGACAGCCTAATATTCTTCCAGTTTAACCTGCTAAAGATATGGCACTCAGTGTTACTTCCTCTTTCTTATTCCTTCTGCTTTCTGTGATAATCCTCCAAATCAAAGACTTCTTACTTGTTGGGATTTGTACACTATTGTAGTTTTTGCGCTTGTGTAATGATCTGTGTGGGCACCCAACAATCTATTTTATGAGCTTGCTTGCATGCATTTCTGTATGCAAGATCTCATTTTCCACTTGGAGACTCGGAACACTACTGCTTGACAAAATAACACTGTGGATGTTGAAACGGAGCAAGAAAAGCCATCAGCAGAACTGCTCAGTGTGTTGCAATTAAAACAGGCTGGAATAATTAGGAGCATCAAATCGAATCGGAATTAATGCAATATCTGATGAGAGCATGTGGATATCACTTCTGTGCTGTTTGCTCATTCAGCTCATGCTTTGTTTACATTTCCAAACCCTCCCACTCCTCAGAGAAGGGCTATCATCTGATGAATGTGTTTCCTGAGCTCAAATTGACCTTGTTAAAGAACCATTGCATTTTAAGCTTTCCTACATTTCATTAAATAGTAATTCTATTAACGCTGTGTGTGCTTGTTGGGACCAAAAGTTCATACTTTTTGTCTTTTGCTATTGGGACCTACAGTATTTATTCAGCAACCTTTAGCCTGCGAAGTGCCAGCTACTGGAACATGCAACTTTTTTGGGGTTTCCCTAAAACTAAATCGTGCAAGTGATGAGTAAATATCTCCTCCTGCAAGTCGACATGCGTCTGAATGACGGGGCTCGGGTCTGATCAGAAAAAGTACACCATAATGTGCACGGAGGGCTCCAGGAGAGAGGGGCCGGGCAGGGATTGAGATACTGGATACAGGTGTGTGCAGGATACTGTGCTGACTCTGCCAGTGAAGGGTGGATTCGTAACGACACTTACAACCACAGTTAATACAACACCTGGGCAGAGCTGAACGTCGGCGAGATGAGTTGGGTCTTCTCTTGTGTTTGGAGCACTTTGGGATGTTTTAAGGCAAAAGGTCTAAACTCAAGGAATTATTATTAGATGTGCACTTAAATAAGCACTTGAGTTTGTTTTTCTCCTGCTGTTTGAATCTTCTGAAATCCTGTTGCTCATTTTCAGAGCCCTAGTGATGCCTCAGCAGATGGTATGATTTTCGCTCAGGGTTACAAAAATGGACAGGAAAATAGAGTAAGGACAAGGACTTCATGTGGGTTCCTTCAATTTTATTTTGTCTTGTAGATTTGATTTTTTTAAGAAAGGTATCAAATGACAGTATAATCATAGCTCCCTAATAAAACATTCGAACTATAAGAATTGTAAGCAAATTTAAGTGGTTTTCCCATCAGATGCAAACGAAATGAAATCCCTAACAGTTATCTTTGACATTTTCTATCAATCAGTGAAGAAACGTGATACCAAACACGCATACAATCTAGATGTTTTTTAAAGCCTGTAATATTCTAGTCTGGTAGCACTTGTTAGTCGTAATTCACTAATGAGGTTGGTTATTCTAATTATTCTTACAAAAACTAAAACAACAAATTACAAGCAAAAAGCGGCAGCATAAATAATGTGTTTTCTTCATTTCTTTTTTTTTAACATAGCGTCTACTTATCGGGAGAAACCAAGCCATTCTTTATTCACCCGGGCGAACGACAAAACGATTATCTATAACTTCAAATCCAATCTCGCTGCTCATTGCCCTCCATCGCCTGTCCCAGACCAGCGTCAAGCCTGCTAGATTATACGTATTCAACTCACAGCCGTGCGATTTTACATCAACCCAGTCAGCGCTGCGACTGAAACAAACATCAGTGTAATCTCGGTAATGATGACTGTCGCGTCCGTACGCTTCTGGAGCACTGGTGTGGTACTCATTGGAGGCTTGGGTCTGTGCCCTTTTCGCGTGTACAGACTAAAACTGGAAAATCTGAATAAACGTGTATAAAAATATCGGAGCACAGACTACCCGCATACTTCAAATTAACAAATACAGAAGACAGGGGGAGAAAGTAGGAGACGTCGACGGTCGATTATAAAACGCATTTTAATATTGACTGTTGCAATTCAAAGGGTATGCAAACACTACTGCACTCCTTTGTTGAAGAGCACATCGGGGAATGATGCGATTTAAACGAACGGGGTGAGTGATGTTTTAAGTCCTATTATAACATTCGCCTTACCTTTTCAAAAATTCTTCAGGTGAGTCGTTTGCGCAAAGCTGTGGTGCGGGCGTGTTTTTTCCTCAGATCAACTCTGCCTTCTCCGAGTTACACAAGGGTTTTAAAACGCTGAAACACAGGCTTGCTTGCCTGACTGCTTGAGAGAGGGGAAAAAAAACGGGGAAAAGGGTGTGTTTTTTTTTTTAAAAAAAAAAAACCTTGAAGAAAACACCGTTGTCTTTCTGCTCCGTTTTGAGATCGAACCAAGACGTCTTTTCGAAAACTTTGCATAAAACCAAAGAGCTACTCGCGCTTTGCATCTGCTCCCGTCCTTCGTCAGTCCTTATTCATTTTCGGGGGAGGGTTGTGTTGAGGGACAGCGGAGGATGTACTGTATCGTGGTTGTAGTGTTAAGGAGATCTTTTGCCCTCTCTCGAAAGCACAAGCAGACTAGCGGGCATGCGACTGTCTTGCCTCAGACCTTCCTCGTCTGAATGCAATACTTTAACGCTTGGACATCAACGCAGTTTCCTTCGCATAGTTTTAACTTCTTGTTTGTTAGAAGATGACTGAAGACTAAGTAACGCAACCTAAGACAAGTGTAGGTTTTCCGCCTCCTTGAACATCATCGCCCTTGCATTAACGTGCCGCAGCATTCGACCCCAAAAGTGACGACATCCCTGCATCTGATTTTCTGAGGAAAAAGTATAACCTTCCGCCTCTCATGCAACGTCACTGAGTGTTTTTAAGATATGCAGTTGCATGAACCTTGAATCAGCGTCCCTCTCTATCGCTCCTCGCGTTCATTCCCCTCCCCGTCTAACCCGCACACACACACTGTACACACACTCACCCTCTCTCCTGTCTGGCTCCTTGGGGTTTAAAAGTTCATCTTGCCCACTGGAGGCGCTGTGCAGTTCTAAATCAGGCCGCGGACAGCTCCCGGTTCTGAATCAAAATTTTGTTCGGTCGATTTTGATGGTCTTCCCGCTTGAAGCGCCTCGGTGTTAAGTCGTGAACAAGAGATGCAATATCCCGCCACCCCCTTTCAAGCACGTTAGCATGACGCTTATTACTGCGCAGAAAAAGATCTGGAAGCTTCTCGTCGTGCATGGAAAGAAAAAGTAAATTGATTAGGACAAGAGTGGAGGACAGTTACCTGGTACAATGTGAGGGTTCTGAACTTGCAAGCTCAATCGGTCTAAACCTCTGTTTTAAGTCTCCAGGTTGTCACGGTCTCTCAACTTTCAGTTTATATATCACATCAGACAGACATGGTAACCTTAAACCTAGGTCCTGGGCTGGTTATGGACCTTGTAGATCAGGAAGAACGAAATGCAGTTTGACCATAGGTGGTGTTCAGGCTGCGTTGCTCAGTGTAATTGTGAATTATTCTTTACTGAGCAAACTTTGCTTGTGAGTGTCTCTAGTTCCCCTGTGAAATATTTAATGCTCCTACCATATGTTGCCTTTTTAATTAGCAATGTGTGTGTGAATGTAATGAGTCACAACTGAATATATTATTTTATCTTCTCAGTGGTTAAGTATTAGAGTAGGGTCTGTAGACGTGTACAGTGTGAGGTTACACAAGTACTTGAGCATTTCTTCTTCAGAAGTGCTTTTCTCAGGGTTTGCCAGTCTCACAGAGTGCTCTGGACATTTGGAATAAGAAGCTCCTGAAGATCTTAATGGCCTTAACAGTGAAGACCTTCTTAGGGAGATGTAGTCAACCTCAAGACAACATGATGATTCACAGGTAGTCAATACAGCGATATTATTGCTTAGTGTCAGGCAGCAGCCTTGGGGCTAAATTTTGAACAACCTTCTGATTTTCGCACAGGGAAGATCACCAGGTAAGCATCTGTGAAACAAGAAGTAGATTCGCATGATAACGCGTCGGCATCCCTCAAGTTAAGTATGTTTCAATCAAGCTGGGTTTCCGAGATGGTAAATCGCAGTCTTGATCGTAGAAGTCAAATGATACTCAAGAGAGTGCTCCGAGCATAGTGTAACATTCACATGGTTTATTCTCATAGATGGTACAGTAGCAGGTTCAATCAAGGATGTCGTGAATATGGTCGTGGGTTCCCAGCCACAATCTAGGGTCAATGAAGAAAATTGTTTGTTTCCCTGGTATTAAACACGTAACTGAATGATCCCTAATTCTTTTCTCACCGGCTTGGGGACAGTAATTCTGTGTCCTCACATGCTGCAGTTCAGGTACGTGGGTGAAGATGTACTTGGGAGACTCACCAATTATATGCCCACCACATTGCATGCACTAGACCTTTTCCACACACATCACAATTCATCTGGTCAGTGGGGTGCATAATGGACCCTTACTGAGACTCTAATGGCAGTAAGAAAGTATCTCACATCTTTTCTGTTAGAAGAAATGAATATTATTCGCTCGGCTTAAACCTTAAGGGCAGTATTTCCATATGGTCCGCCAGCTGTTCTGTGATTCCAGTGGCACCCAGTGCATCTCTGCTCCCGTTGCATTGACATAGAGAGAGACACGGAAAAGGTCTGTTTTTTCCGTTATCCTGACCCGTCAGAGAGCAGTTGACTGAATTCTAAATCTTTCTTCAGCAGAAGTGAGTGGGCAGGAAGCACTCTGGTGAGTCATATTCCTAATTGGTGTGTTAACAGGATGTCTTTAGGGTCATGTTGGACTGAAACACACAGGCACTGCGTTGGTATGAAAGCTCCAATGAAAGTAGGTGGGTGAGCATCTCGATTTTTCCTTTAGTGGCTGGTCAGTGAGCAGGATTCCTCTGCTCAGAAATCTCTGGAGTTCAAGGTGGTGGGATACAGCAAATTCCACAGCTCTCCAAAGCAGGGAAGGCGATGGAGTGAGTATCTGGCTCTTGCTGAAAGTGTTTGTGACAGTTGTGCTGCAAACATTCGCAGCTTATTGGCCTTCCCCAACTGTTTACCTAGAATTACCTTTGTAGGAGGAGAGGATCGAGTGTTAAAGGAAAATGTTTTTCTTTCTGAAGAATCTGTATTTATTAATTTGAGGAAAAAGGTAGGGCCTTATTTCTTTGGGTTTAAGTGGATATTCACTACAATATAAACACATACAGTAGATTCTTAGAACGTATGTATTTATTCTTTGTGCAACATTCACTCTAATTAAACTCTAAATTGGAATGTGATCATTTTGTAACGCTGGTTTACTATGATCTCAATGACGTATGGGGAATATCACTCTGGTCTCTGGAGGCTAACTGGTGTCTGTGCCCAGTGAGGACCTGGTGCTGTTGTCAAGGTCTAGTCTTGTTTTGCACCCTGTATGTGGAGATAGACTCCGCGTTGCCAAGACCTTTACTGGGATCACATGGTTTTCTGATAATGGAAGGATCAGGAATATGCTTTCTCTTTCTCAAAGCCTTCCCCTGAGAACCAAATTATTTCCAATCCATTATTGATAATCTCTTGGGGCACGGAGGTCACCTGCTTTGTGGAATGAAAGCAGTATTTTTACCGGGCATGGCTGAATAAAAAAAAAAACACAAAAAGAAAAGAAAATAGGCTGGATGGGGAAATTGCAGTTAATGAAAGCGTGCATACAATAGAACTGTCAATAAGAGCTGACTTGGGTTTTCTGACACACTGAATGGGACATTTTTGTTCTATAATTGAGCTTAATTTCACTCGGGAAGAAAAACTGGAACAAGTTTCATTTTAGTCAAGAAAATAATATCAAAGAAAGAGTTTAATATAAACACAAATAAAATATCAAAGCATATGGGTTGTTAAGTCGTCTGCAGAAGAAAATAGAATGGCTTATACCATACCTACCAAGTCGACTTCTAAGAGAAAGCACAAGCCATGATTTATTTTGTTGTGTTCTACTTTCTCATTCAAAATTGTTTCCTGTAAAAAAAAAATGACTTTTTGCATTTCTGATTAACAAGTGGCTTCTCTGACATTTAGCTCACAGCCTGTGGAGGCTGATCCATGATTCAGAACCAGTGAAGTGTGATTTAACCTCAACTCTCTGGACCTTCAGGCAAACACATTCACTGGCTGTTCTGTTTTCATTTTGTCCCTTTATCAGAGCCAAAGGTTTTCCAGCTGCCTGCATCTTCTGTGCACTTAGTCAGCAGCAATGTGACAGTCGGATCTACAGTCCACAGGCTTTTCTGTTCAGGATTGACAAAACAGAACAAAAGATGCATAAACCATTGTATGCAAGGGCGTTCTTCACTCTTTCCCTGTTTAGAAAGTTGGTAGTTTAGAAAGTTTATATACAGTATATGTGTAATGATTGTGCATGTGTATTGTTAATGAATCCTTCATGCCATTATACATGAAATGAAAACCAAAAAGGTGAACAGTCTTGCATTCTTTTCCACCCCAGCACATTGTTGAGATTTTTTTTCCCCAACAGAAGGTGAGGTCAGTCACAATGCTCACTATCTGATTTGCAAGGACAAACTCAATCTTTTCTTCTGTTTTAAACAGCCTCGAACAGCAGCTCTACCAGTGTCCTTCACCAGCTCTTTCACTACACTTCAGAAGGATTGCGCTGTTGTGTGCATGCTTTTGCATTTTAAATGCCTGTTGCTGTCTCGATTTAGGCAAAGGCTGAGGCAAATCATTCTTAGTAACTGACTGACGTTGTTCTGCTTTTTAGTCCAGAAAGGTCATGTGACCTCTTGAGCAAAACTGGATTCAAAGTATTCAGAGCTGACTACTGTAGGTTGTGCAGTGCTGTGAGATACCCCTGCATCAGAGCTATAATGCAACAGTTACACAATTGGCCAGATAAGCTACTGAGGTTATTTTGATTGTTTTACAATGTCTACTCTTACCTGAGACTCCATCCAAATCACCAGAACCATTACTGCTCTTGGCCAAATGATAGATTTTTAGTATTGAGTAAAAAATAACAGCAAGGGATCAGCAGAGAGTATTTGTGCATCATTTTGTTTTTAGCAAGGACGGCATTTATTTATCTGGCCAAACTTAAGTTTATTGGTTGCAAATCAACGTTTTACAGTAGGACTGAAATTCATCGGTCAAACCAATAAAGCTTCTAGAATTGGATTTATGAGAAGAAAGTTGTAAATACATTTATAAATGTGTTTTTAAACTGTCTGAAACAAGATACAATCTGCAAATAGCCCTAGGTTTAGAGCTAGGTATGTTGTTCAGGATTAAGGTCTAATTATCATACAATTAATCTAAAGTATAGTGGGGGGGGGTTAATATCACATTAATATAATTAAATTGACTTTAAACATGTTACTGTTCTTTTTACGTGATGAGCAATTTGGACAGTCATTAATCAGTTTAACACTACCTTTGTTATATTCCTACTTTCACCCTTGCTATTTTACCTTCTTGGTTTGGGTTTTTACGAGATGCCGTAGAGATGTTGCAGAAACGAGAGGAGAGACACTGGCATTGCCTTTCTCTCCCCTCTTGCATTCCTGCAGTGTGACTGAGTGTGTCTGACTGTGTCTGTCTGTTACGGTGCTGACCCGCTAAATGGACCTTATCCAGGTGACACACAATACCTGCTGACTCCCAGCTCTGTGAGAGATCATGTCGTGAAAGAAGCAAAAAACGCTTGAAAATGTCAGTAAAAGGGAGCAAGGGAGTGGTACTGGTAGGAAGTGGATATCTGACTTTCTTCATCTTGAGGAGTATGATAGAAAGCTGGCTGGGGTGGTACTGTTCTTTTGAGAAGAAATGTACTGGTGCTTAGCTGGTATACAAGATGAAACATTCAGACTCAATGTCTTAGTGAGCTATTTATTAACCAAAAGGGCAACGCAGAACCTCCAAGTTGCTGCATACATCATGTTTCATTTCCTTTGCTGTAAAGCATTTACCCTTTACAAAAAGGGTTTCATTTTTCCAAAACCTTGTTGAGATATCTTGGAGATCAATGGTCATCTGAATCGGACGGCGACTGTTTGAACTTCCGTTTGGCGATGATGTCAGGCGTGTCCGACGAAGGCCTGTGGGAGAAACAAAGATCAAATCAGATTTGAACGGCACCCGGATCTGAGAATACCAAAATGCAGCAGCCTATTCCCTTGCCTGAGCACAGAGAGATCCATTGAAGGCTGGCTTCCATTCAAGCAATGAATGGCACTGTGAATATCTACTGTGCACTGGTAACAACAGGGCTGCAAGAAAGCTGGCAGATTGTCCTTTCATTGCTTTAGAATGGGTGAGATTAAGAAGACATGTTTATCACAAGATGAACACGAAAAGTGAACTACAAGGAAGATCTCCCCGAGATTGACTTTCAGGTTGTATTTTTTTAATGAAAGTCAACATTGAAGCAGGGTATGATGAACATTGTTTTCATATTGAAGAATATATAATGGAAATTAAGTGTTATAAACATCTCCACTGTACCTTTGTGAAGTGTATACAGTAAATATGAATGCTTACACGCTGTACCTGATGAAATATTTACATGAGTTATTGGATGCAGTATTAGCCTGCTTATAAAATACAAGACAAATACTGTAATTCCATTAATGCATTTAAAGTTGAAGATGCATTTTAAAGTCAGAACAGTTTCATCAGCTCCAGCACTCCACTCCACCAATTGATATAAAAAAAAAAAGGTAACACACAGTTCATCACTGGTAACTGCTGTTAGTCTTCTGGGCTATCAGTGGTAAAATCATGACAACCACCCAAAAACCTTTTCTGGGGGGTCAACAGCAGTAACGGGAGAAAGGTGATGTTGTTTGTATGCAGTTGTAAGCAGTGAATGACGATGACTGAGAGATGAGTCTCTGTAACCACGGCAACAGATGGGAAAGCTGCTCAATGAGAGGCTGTAACTAACAGTGTAGCAGAACTGAATGAAGTTCCCTGTGGCTTTAAAGAGGAAGAGGGACACAGGTTGAAGTCACCTTCACCTTTGTGTCAGCACTGCACTTGCTACACATATTAGAAGGAACAGCTCTGAATGTGAAAATATTACCCGTGAGTGGAAGCTATCTGGCCTATCCAGGACACTTGGCTTTTCAATAGCTAAAAGAACCAGGATTCCCTCGGCGTTTCTGGAAAGAAACCGGGGCATCGGCTTCACCAACATGGCAGGGTAGCTTGTTCCACACTCCCACAACCCTTTGTGTGAAGAAGCACTTCCTGTTCCCAGTTTCTAAATGCACTTTGCTCTAGCAACTGGATGTCTGCTTCTGTGTTGACACTTGCCATCAGGACCTGACGCTATTAGAACATGCCGAACACCGCAAAGTGTTGTTTAAGGGGGAGATATATTCAATCCAAATGTTATAGCCCTTTTAGAAAAAAAGTAAACTCATGCAACTCCCAGTGAGAAGGAATATAAGGCATTTGAAGTTTACAAAGAATCTTAAATGAACTATTTTTTTAGTTTTTATGTAAAAAAACCTGAGAATTCCCACTCTTTTTTACTGTATGTGGTTTAATGATTTCTGTCCTTACCTTCGTTTTTATATTTTAACAGTTAATGCAACATTTTAAATGTTTTTTCAGACAGTAGTCATACCAGTTGCTGCAGGTAAACATTACACCTTCTGAATCTTGTGCCATATGGTGCAAGGCTCTTTTATGAATGTTAAGAAACTCAGATTGTACAAATTATTGCCTTTTTCTAAATAAACATTGGCGTGTAACTCGCAGGGATCGCACTGCCTGTTATAAGCCTGTTGCTTTTATGCACTGGAGAATCCCAGTGGAATACGTTGCTGGAATCTAATAAAATCAACCAGCTTTTTTTTTTTTTTTTTTTTGAAACAAGGAACACTTCAATCAAGATCTGTGTGAAAGTATACTTTAGCTGATGGCATCCTTGTCTATTGCATAGAAAGGCTAATAATCATAATCTGATGAAACTCATAGAGTATTGTTGACCCCCCTTTGAGAATGAAAGAGCTTTGATTATGCATTTTGGAGCCACACACATGATATTACAATTTCAATATATTTATAGCATAATTGAGGTTATTTCGCATATACTGTGTTTCTTTCTGTCTACTCCTGGACACATCTGTGAAAACCTGCCATAATCTATGTTTCCAAAGTTTTTATCACTGATCCAAAATTCAAACATAATACTATCATTCTAACATACAACAAAATAGAAGAAAAAAATCTATGCTGGCATTACTCCCAGAATAGTACAGCAGCTCATTGCGAAACGGGTGTTTTTGATGTGCAATCCTGGCACAGTTTTGAATAGGATGTGATTGTGGTCTTCCAGCTTTATACATGCCAGAGAGTGCAGCTGATTTCAAACGGTAATCAGCTTCGTGTTTCGGGGGAACAGATTCCGCAAACATTTGCTCCTCGATGCCCGCCGTGGAGAAGAGGGGATTATCTGAGAGGCCATGCAGAGAGCAGAGGCCGGGCGCCTGAGCCAATGCCGCCCAGCTCCTGCCAGTTGTGTGAGAGATGGCCCTAAAGAAACTGGGCCCGAGTGCAGAGCTGTGGAAGAGGTCACTGGGGTTGCAGACGCGACACACATCGACCACCTGTAACTTCTCCCGCCCGGTGTCAATCAGAACAGGATGCGAACTACACTGTTCTCGTTATGAAGAAAAGGAAGTTGCCTCTGCAGTGAGTCAGGGGATGAGACTGGATCGCTCTTCATGGTCTTTTTTCAGGTTTTCTATGACCTTAATCCAGTTGATGCCAATAGGTAGGATTTCTTCTGTCCATCTGTTGTGCAACTCGCTGGTCACACTTGAAAAGGGCCGTGGCTCAGCCTCCTGATTTAGCTTAGTGTGGAGTCTGCATGGAGGGATTCACCGTCACTTGCTAACATCAGATGCAGAAAGTTCACGGGGAGCATGCGGCTGTGGGTGTCAGCGTCTCGCCAAGAGAGAGTGACACAGGCTATTAAATTCTTGAACAAATGATCCAAAACCATTAGACCATCGCGGTATCAGTTCTCATATCCAATTATCGTCACTCTGCCAGGCAGCGTGCCCTGAGTCTTCCTGGAAGTGTCTTTCCAGATATACTGTTGAACTGTAGCAAGGATGTGAGAGTCTGAATGCGATCCTTTGGTTTCAGTTTGAACTACAAATACAGTTTGGGTTTAGTGTAAACTTGAAGCATGTCAATATACAGGTGTCTCCTGCAGAACCCTCCCGAAAGCAGCACAGGCTCAGAGTACCTCACAATCCACCATAACCTAAAATATCTGTATTTTGGGGGTGGTGATTGAGTTAGACTTGTTATTCACAGTATATGAAGAGAGGAGCATCCTCGGATTTCAAAATCATCACTAATCTGTTATTATATTCCTTCCCCTCTGCAAAACGTTTCTGAAGCCTTGCTGTCTGTGCCTTATTTGAATAAATAGTGTTACAATTCTGTGAATTATAATACAAGTTATAAATCTGTGATCCCTTCTTGAAATGGCACAGGGATTCGTTTCTGATGGGGAAACACCATGCCTGTTAAAGCTGGCAAGAATGAGGCACAGCTACCTCTCCCAGCCCCCTGTGCCGCTGATATGAAGCAGTATGATATCAGGTGTGAAAGTGGCTCATTTTCCTAAACCTAAAGCAAGTGTCATGATGCAAAACACATGGTCACAGTATTGTGCATATAATCTGGAAGTACATCGTAATGTCTTTACTTTGCTGAACAGATGTCTCATTCTGTAAACAGATTTTCCAATGTGCATTTTAAACAACTGTTCTCAGCCTAAACTTTGGTAAACAAGTTTTTTTTTTAGGTTTTGTAAGCAGCATGGGTAACACTTCACAAAGAAGCAGATACATCTTCAAAGCAAAATGAAAATGAGTTTATAAAAGGGCTGTGAATACCAGATGAAGGCACCAATAAGACAGCTCTCAAAAAGAACATCTGCAGACTTTGACTTATTTACAGGCGTGTGGGAGATCTGTTGGAAAAAACTAAAAACAAGGCAAATCTCCCACACACTGCAATAGGCAAAAGTCCAATTTTGCTGTAGAAAGAAAAGCTTTTTATTCTATGTACAATAATGTGTTTTGCATATTGCAATGTGTGTGTCTCGTTTTTTTCAAATGAGACAATTTGGCACTGTTGACAAATAATCAGTCTTCCTGCTCAATGTCACCTGTCAATCATCTAAAGATGAACAACCAATTAGGAACTTGCTGGGGAGGCAAGGACACAACACCTCATGATGTCATGACCAATCGCCAACCATGAGTTTTGTTGCTTTAAAGCTAGCTTTCATGTACTGTACTTCAGAGTAGCAATTAATATTTGTTATACACACAGTGTTTTTCAAACAATCAAACCAGACAACAAAAAGAAAGACAAAAATTGATTATTACAATGAAATAAAAATGGAAAAGTCGTGATTTTACAATTATTCAAAGTCTGTAGTTTGGCAAACCTAAATTAATTTAGGTGCCCAAAATTGCATTAACAAGCTATTTAAATAGTTGATTGCAGTCTGTATGCATATCAAAACTGAAATAGCAGTCTTGTTGGACCCCGAGTAGGTGCATAATATTTGCGTTCCAGTGAACAGTGTGAAGTGTTGAGCTAATAAATGATCCATTAGCAATGAAGCAGCTGTGGATTCACCTGTTGGAAATGGAGAAAGAGATAATAGGGAAACAGCATGTCTTACCCCTCTTCTGGTGACAAATCCTTAGTCTGGGCATCCTGGAATGTTCCCATTCTGCTCTTCGACAGTTCTTGATCCAGGTGGGCTTGTGTTGCTAAAAAAATAAGAATACCCCCAAAATGTAGTAATGACAAATAACTTATTTGCCATGTCCTAGGGATAATCAAACTCGCATGCCCTCTTTCTCCTGTTTAGAGAACAAAAACAGTTTATTTTAACATGCTCTGCTTCCAAGGAATTTAAATGCGTAACAGGGCTTAACCTAAGCCTCTCTCTCATATTTCCAATTAATTAAAATGTGTTCGTTTCGAAAAAGATAACAGATTCGAATTCAAAAACAATATTTACTAGTAAGAACGTAAATGTGGTCCAACCAAAGCCTGAATAAATATTTATGGGTTCAAAGTCCTTGATGAGATCGAATTGAATAAATATCCTATTAGTGTCACAACACGAGACGATTAAAATAACTATTGATGAAGCAAATTAATCATTATTTGTAAAAAGGTTTTTGGACTTCTGTACACGTCTAAATAAAATGCAGATGATATCTCTAAGGAAATGAAGAAGGATTAAAATGAAAGAAGTGTGGGTTTTTTAATCAGCAGGTGCTCTAGGCAGTGCTCTGAAAATATTATTTAATAAACAAGGAAACAAAACGGCTACGACAGGCAACAACTGTGTTGACCGCACTGGAAAGACATCGTGGGTGAGGGTGTTGATCTAGGGAAGGGAGTAACAAACTCCTCGCTAACGATGAGCTGGAGCAACGCAGCTGAGGTTCATTCTCGCAGCCAGAAACTTCTTACTGATCGGTTGGCAGTCCATTTCCATCAGGAGGAAAAGAGGGCTGGAAGCCTAAAAACTTGAAAACGTGTTCACTGTTCAATCAGCGTCCCACAGAGCTGCTCCTGCGAGGCGAGCAAGATGCGTTGAGGCAAAGACAGCGTGCACAGGCTCCTCTTTAAGTGTCGAAAGAGCAGGAGCTCACAGAGCCTCTTCGACGTGACATAGCTTTGTGGAATGCAAGAGAGGCTGTCGGTTGAGAAAATCCAGTTTGGGAATACGTGAAATGGACTCTGGGAATAAAGACTTAGCAGCACGGGATCTAGCTGGCATGTCAGCTTTGTAACAGGGTATTTCACACGTGAAAACACGGCAGCACAGGAGCGAAAAGGTCCCTTTCCGAATCGGTTTTGAAACCATATTTCACTTACCACAGTCCAAATAGCATTGTTATCCTTTCCAAGAAAACTTGGTTACAGAGCAAATTGGAATAGAATATATTTGTTAAAACAGCCAAAGTGAGGGAACCCCAGAGAGCTGAAGTCTCAGCCTGAGAGGTGCACATGCATCTAAATTATATGTTAGAGGAAGAGAGAGCCACTGTGGCACTCTGCTGTAGACAGATCGCCCATGGGAAGTCATGAACCTGTCTTCGGTAGAGGAATCTGATTTACTCCCCACTGAGTGGTTTTTTCCAGCTGTTTATTCGATATTAAAAGGAATATGACCCTCTGGTTACTGCACTTTAATTTGATCTGCTCAGCCTATCACAGACGTAATTAGCCTTCATTGTTTCCTCTCCCTCTGTGATTATAAAGATTGTCACTTGCGCAAGAAGGCAGTCACGCACTGTGTCTGAGGTGTGGCCAGCTGACACAGAGAGAGAGACCAGCCAGGCAATCTGAACCTGAGCCTCTGACTCGGACTGTGTCCAGCTGGCTACATCAACAAGACGGTGAGGTTTTTTCATTCCTACGGAGATGCTATTGCTGTGTTACCGTTCAGTGTCTTTCACGGTAAGGGTCCATCCATCCCTTGGGAAGGGACCGACTTCTACAGCACAGGGAGTCTGGGCTTCATCATCATTTGTGCACAACAGGCAGAGAGCCCCCAGGTCAGGGTGGGTGTGAAGGAGCTAGAACGCCCTTGTCACGCTGTGCAGTGGGAGGCCTCTGACTTTCTGGACACCTGGCAGGGAATGATGATTGCCTTTTCCGTTTCTTCTGCAGTGCTATTTTCAGTATTGTTTTTTTCCCCACGCCGAAGAAAAATAAACTGATCGCAGAATCATTGTTGGGGGGGTGAGGTGGGGGATCGTGGCTGAGAAGAGTAAAAGTGAAAAGGGGGAAATAAAGTGACATTTCCATGACCTCGTCTCGCCAAACTCAAGGGAGGTCTCAGCGTTGCAGTAGGAAACAGAAAAATTCCCCTCCTATCACTATAAAAATCCGGTGCTAAATGACTTTATCATCATTAATTTCTGTACCCAACCACCGTGCTGAGCTTAACTGTGAGAAAGGCCATGGAAGGATTTGGCTTCGTCTCTTACTATCTATGCTAATTTTAGGCTCTCGGTTTTCAGTACTGTCCCAGCTTTATGTGGGAGACTTCAATCTATCTTGATGATTTCCTTCTAATAAAGTGTGTGCCCTGCATTATATTCACCCTTTTGCAACAATCCGTCTCACATAGTGCTACGGTCGTCAACCACAATGCCACAAGATGATCAATAACGTAAATAACATGTTTCAGTCATTCTGTGGTTTCTTCCCACTGGGAGATCACACTGACTTACACATCGGACATTTCACTTCAGCATCGTAATCCAAACACAAGGGGGGTGGGGGGACAAGTTCTTTTTCTTGCAACCCTGCAGAAGTCCGAAAAATATCAACAAAGATGAAACAAAATTATAGGATAAAACGGCTTAATTTTGTACTGTGTGAAAAAGTGGTTTTGTACTAGTAAGAAAGAATCTGAATCAAGGGTTTAGGATATCTGAAAATATTGGGTGTTTGCTGCTAGTCTGGTCTCTCTGTTGTTGATGAAATAATAGAGACACAGTGACCAAGAGAGTAATCTAGTGATCTAGACCCCAGGAGACACTGTGTGCCATGTGACATTTCCATGATGCTGTGGGCACTTACCTTCTCGTTTAAATGCTTCTGCCGGTTGTTCTGCGTTGCTGAGGTGGGGCCTGGGGTGAACACGAAAATTTCCTGGAGGAAAGCGGAGAGGATTCCAGAAATAAGTGGAATTAGAACACTTTGTGAAAGCAGCCGGAGTCTGGGCTTTGACAGCGGGACTGGGCAGCTTGTTCCATTCTCCCAGAACCCTCTGTACATCGCAATGCCTCCTGCTTTCTGTGTTTAAAAGCGCTTTGTGTTGATTCTGAGGAGTTCACATGGGTTGACTTTTTATCATTGCCTTTGGGGATTTATGAATCCTTTACTTTAGCACATTCCTTTAGACCAGGATTGCACCTGGAAACGGAACAGCAGGTGCAAACAACACCGCTCTTTCCTCATCGAGTAGATGCATCTTTCACAATCCGCAAAACTGAGATCAGTCTTCGGGATGGGCTCCCTGAAAGATCTCTTGCTCTCGCCTTTTTTTCCCCCATGATCTTTGTACTGTACTTTATTTTTTCTTTCTGTTCGTCTTTCCCTTTACAATAGATCGGTGACTGAAGGGGAAGATTATGTAGATGATAGGATATTGTTAAACTCTGTTTTAAAAAAAAATGTCAGGTCAATATCTCAGTTTCAGGTACTGGGCCTCCATAAAAGCTTCAGATCTTAGCATTGTACTGCAGCTTAAAGTTGTGGTGATTGTAAAAGGGTTAGCTAAAGACAGAAATGAGAGCAGTAGAAGCCCGGTCTTGTAACAGATGTTTAATCAACAAGCCAAATGTGGTGACTGATGTGAGGGGTCAGCCTGAGTTTCTTTTACTGGACCTCTAGGTGTGGCTGTGAAGTCTCCAGTGTGGGGTGGTGACTACACCTGATAGCTAACATCTTCCCCGAAATTCAGCTGCACTCCTTGGGAACTGGCCACCTGCATGCTTAGGCTGGCAAAGGCCTTTCCAGGGAATGAACTGAACCACGCAATTAGAGAATCTACCAGTATCTAAAGAGAATCGGAGATCTCAACAGGCATGTTCCTTAACTGAGAGGAGATGTAAGACTTTTTGTAATACTCTAGTAAGAATTGCAGTACATCCTTCACTAAATCTGAATGCAATTATATAGTACTCGAAATAAAATCCTTGAACGATTTGTTATTTTTACCTTGTATTTTCAAGGAATGAATCTGACATCCTTTTGGGCTGTTTCGTACTTCTTTAGTGTTGTGAAGGTTCTTTCACTGTATAATCTCCAGCAGCAAAACTGTGACTCTCCAGTAACACTCTGTTATAATCCCTGTCACATCCTTCCATTGACATGACCCGGACTTGAACCTACAGTCACAGAGCTCAGGTGCGTACACCTGCGCATTCCAGAGCCCCCTGGAAGCCTTTCTAAATCTGTCTAATCTGACGGGACAAGAGCTAGCTCCAACCTGAGGATGAATGGGATGATCCCATGAATGTCTAGATGGGGGTATTTCAGACACAAAAAAGCCTATTAGCTCTGCACCGTTTTCTCTAGAAATTATTATTCAAATAGGAGTGATAGATGCAGAAATGCTATCAGCAAGCACTTCTGCCGTTGCTAAGATGACTGATACCTTTATTTCAAAATCATACAAATCATATAAAAAAAAGGCTTAATTGTGTCCATTCAGACCTTGGGTGAACAGATAATATATAATTATCAGTACAGAATGGAGATGGAAGGCAAATTCAGTTTGCCTTATGGCTTATCTTCCTGAAGGTTCTCTGCGGCTGTGCTTTGTAGTTCTATTCAAACCTTATAAAACGCTTTTGTCTCTCTCTTTAGTCGGCCCCGATCGATTGATCACCCTTATAAGTGCAATCCATGTACTTTATGATGTTGCTTTTATTATCTACAGTATAAAGGCTCTTTTTCTTAATAATAAAAGGGCTTGAAATGATTGTGTCCAGGAACAAGGTCAGAGCTCCCTGCCTCTTTGAGTGACTTCATTGGGTTGAATCTAATTTCAGCTTTGTTTTTTTGAAGATATGTCAGAATTGTTATAAGCAAAGAAGAGTGGAGGAACTTGAGACTTGAAATCAGAGCTGAAGGGTATTGAAATACTCCAAGATTGATTAGTCATGTTTGTTAGGCCCTCAGTTTTACCTATTTGTATGAAATAATTACTATTGAAACCGACATAAAGAATCCACAACTGCATCTTCTTAAACACTGGGAATGTTTTGTTCGTGATTTTTTCAAATGATGTGACATTGTCCCACCCGTATTCTGAGTGATTCACCAGCGTATTTGTCTTTCTGACATTCTAGGACCGTCACATTTTTATCACAATTAAACATATTGAGTAAAATAATTACAGGAGAGCAGATGAGAGTGGCAGTATTCTCTCCCGCTGAGTAAAGAGCAGATAAGGGCTGTGTTTTAACAGGTTTTACAAAAAGGAGCCAAGCATGAAGCATCAATAGGTTAGATCATTTGTAACGGTTGATAGTTAAATCCAAAGCCTTTATTCACAATAAGGCAATTTCAAAAACCTGCTCTCAAATGTACTGTCAAAAAATCACTATTAAATAGATTTTTAAATTAATTTGCTGACTAAATAATTGGAATTGTCCCCCGAGCAAAATTATTATTCATATCTCATTTCTAAAACTTGTCTTTATTTACGTTTTAATGCAATTAGCCTGCTGACTCTCCATTGCTGTATCTCGGGGAGCTCTTGTGCAAACAGGGGTGATGCACACATCTTCCAGGAGGGGGCAGTACTAATTACATGGGGCAGTTTCCCTATGTAAGGCACTCTGGGAAGAAAAGCACTATGTTAAATGCAGAGAATGATTAATTATTATAAATGGAACTCTCTTTGTTCTCCCCATTCTGAAAAACGTGCACTGAAACCCTGTGTTTCACTTCATACTGCCTGTAAAAAAGCGCCACATGACTGTACCTTATCCCTCTCATCTCCTGTCTTGTGTCCAACATGCTGTATATCTTTTGAATCAAGCTCTTTCAGGGTACAGGGATTCATGCTCTGAAAACGAAACCCTCCAGTGGCACTTGGGCATAGAATTAATGTCTATGTTTTGCATATAGAGCAGTTTTTCACCTGCAGCACATTCAGACAACTTGGAAACTAACAGAAGCGTGGAAACGAACTGGGACCCCTCCTGCACCAATGCAAAAGCACAAGACTGCAAATTTCAATCCAGTAACAAGACATGACCCAGAGCATGGCGTGATGACAAGGCTTCACCGGAAACCTTATTGTAGCAAAGGGTGTCTATACAGACAGAGTGGACAATATTCAGAAGCGGCAAGCACAAGGATTCCCAGAGAACATCAGAGGCATTTAAACGAGGATGGAGAGGGGAGAGAATAAAACATATACACTGTGTATCAGGCATTCCTTTTTTTTTTTCCTACTGCAGAGGTCCAGTTGTTTGCACTTGAAGGGGGGCAGTTCTGCAACACTGAAATTGGTACAGGATTGATACCAATTACAAATCCTGTTTGACCTTTCAAAAGCTGAAAGCACATTTACAGATATCCCCCAAAGAGCAAACCGCATTCAAGATTTCCTGGGATTAGGAACTGAAAGCCTCAGATCAATTAACTAGAAAAAAACCAAACAAATGAGTTTAGATTGATAGGATGGCCTCCACTCCTTTGTGATATTTCTGGTGCTCTAATTATTTTGGAGTGCACAAATGGTCCAAAAGTGTTCAAACACCCCTGTTATCATCCGGTGCCTTCAGAGCCATTACACCAATGCATGATTCTCGCATGCGTCTGGTGCTATTGTAAAGCATGTCACCTGCAATTTCAGCGCAACAAGGCTCTGGAAAACAGATCACAGGGATCAGAATAAATAAGATTTAAAAACCAGTAGCAAGCAGGTGTTGTGGCAATTCAGCTCAGTTGCCTAAATATGCACTTTAAAACCACATTTTTTAGTCAGCTTTGTTCCTCTGTTTCACAGTTACCTCTTACTCCTGTTCCGATCTCTGCTGAGAGAAAAGAACACAAACTTATCCTGACTTAAGTAAAAAAAAAAAAGAAAAAACCCAGACCGGATGAAAATTTAATAACTCCCTATAGGAAAACATGGAATTAACCGTGCTGGCGGCTATGCTATGGTTGCTATGGAAACCCACCTCGGCTGTACCGAGATAAAAGGCAGGACGGAGGATCTCCCGGGAGGGCTGGGAGTGCGGCCGCTTTCTGGGAGGGAGCGGCTCATCGGGGGGGTCCGAAGAAGGAACAGCCGGACTGCGGCTCCACCAGGCTGCGGTACGGCCCTGACCCCCGACCCCCGACCCCTGACCTCTCCCCTTTCCCCTCTCATCCAGGGCTCCTAGCAGCTTCCTCCTCCTCCTACACCCCGCTTCCGAAACGCGCGCGGCCCGCACGGCTCTCTGACCCCCGGAAATCGTTGATCGGGCACGCCGGACGAAGCCGAGCTATCGAGAAGGATGTCGACTTGATTACGATTTCCTGCTCGTTTTCCCTCCCCCTCCCGCCCCCTCGGCTTCCCCCTTCTGGGAGGCGTGAGGAAGCTGTGAAAGCAGTTGTGCACCACGGACGCAGCCGAGACACAAGAAGTCTCTCCGATTATTTCCAGACCCCTGGACTGTCGGTGGCCACAGCTCTGTATCTGCTGCTCCACAGTGAGGAAACAACTGCTCCTCATTCCCAATATTAACCTTCTGTTAACAGAGGGATGCAAGGCCATGTGCTGCAGATCTCCAGCTCTGAGTGTTTGCTTACATTTACATTCTGGAGAGGGTTATAGAGGGTTATTTTTTTCACGTGTCTTTGCTCACGACTTTTGAAGGTTAATATCTGCGTGGGGAGGGGGGTGTGGTGTTAAACGCACTCTCTCGAGCTCTCAAAATACACTCAAGCGAGGATAGTCCCCAGAAACTATCATTTTAAAACATAAAAAAAAAACAAAACCCAACATCTGCCTTAAAACCTTAATTAATGGGAAATTAAAAGTGGTGCTGTTTGTTTAGTTTTACGTCGTGTACTCCTAAGTCTTGTTACGATGGAAAACTTAGCCCAAGAGTATACCTTCTCGAACAAAGACTGTTCAGTGTCCTAAAGTTAGTGTTTTTCTGATTTCTGTGAGGACGTAAAGTCCTGGACCAAGTGTTCATGTATGTCTGATGTCGGTGAGGGCTCTGTACACTTTTGCTGCAAAGGTCTGCAGTTATGACATTCGAGCCAACAGGTCTTCTACTGTATGTGATGTAGTGACATGAATTTGGCCTTGATCCTTCAGTTTCCACGAGTTTGAGACACCACCTGCACACCAAAGGCAAGCATTGCCTGTTGTACTTGATGAGCATACAATGCTCATGAGAACAAGCAGAGGAGATGTCTTACCTAGAACTGGCAAAATGTGATTGAAGTTGAACCAGGCTTTTATAAAAGGGTAGATGGAGATGATGAGACCTGAAATGAAATAAGGACAAGCAGTTATTGAGCAGTGGGTGGCTCAACCACGAATCACAGTACAGTACATCAAATTATATTCTTAATGAATGGAAATGCTGTGTCAAAAGAAAATATTACTGTAAGTGTTCTAGATTGACTACTAGATTGCAAGAAGACGACCTGTGATGTAATACATAACCAAAGTAGACATGTAAAAGGAACATAAATCCTCTGTACATTTTCAGTAAGCATATTATCCTTGTAGGGTGTCAGTCCACAGGGCAGTACAGAAGATGGGAGTACTTCCCGGATGGGGTGCCAGTCTATCAAAGGGCACACACATGCAATTGTTCGCAGTCATATATGGTGGGCATACAGAGACACACAATAACCTGGGCAGCATGATTTCAGACTGTGGGATTAAACTGGAGCACTTGGAGAAAACTCACACAATCACGCACACTCACAGAACATGCAGACTTCATACAGAAGGTGACAAAGGGTAGTATCAAACCCAGGTCCCAGGAGCTGACCGCCATCCATACATGAATCATACTCTTAATAAACAGCAGTTGTGTGCATAGTTTACACAGTTCAGAAAGACAACATTCGTTTTCATACTAAGTACACTTTAAAATGAATGTCTTTATACCATTAATATTTTAATTCCCCTTGCTTATCCTTGTGATCATTAATATTGCAATGTATGGCATATTCAATTTAATTAGGGGAGCTGGACAAGAGAGATATTTCCTCTATCATTTTATAATTTCCTTTTTTTCTTTAATTAAATACAGATATTTGTTCTGAATGGCACACTTATTCATTACGCATACTGTATATGTTAGGGTTGATCCTGTATTGTCCAGTGAGACACTTCTCTCTCCCGAAACATAAAGGGCTTTGGAAAACAGCAAAAAGTGGGTTGTGAAGTCTGTGTTTTTGAGTATCTGTGAATTCAGCTGTGAGGCAAACCAGAGGCCTAATTAACTTTTAAAGCCAGCTTAAAATGGAATTTTAAATAATTTTCTCCATGGTTAGCTTCTGAATAAATTTCAGGCCATACATAAAAGCCTAAATGCTAAACCCCATTAATCTATCATTTTTATGTGCTGCAAAACAGGAACCATGTCTTTGTCAGATAATAACCCTCCTTTTTTTTCTTTTGTTATTTCAGCCACAAAAACAGCACCCAGGGTTGTCCTTCGGCTACGACAAGCCTAGTGGGTTAGTGCAAAAGCATTATCTATAAAACTACAAGCATTAACCAACTCCATGTCACGCACTGGAATAATACAGGTTCAATATTATCGATCTAGCGTTGTAAATCAGTCTTTATTCTATATTGCCAGCATCTCCAGGGACAAAGATAATTGCCCAGAATTCCCATTCCAACATAGCTATTGCTATGTAAACCGTTATGCTTGACTATACTGACCTAATCTACAGATGGTCTACTGAAAGCAACAACCAATCACATGTGACAGCTGCAGGTGAAATTACCCAGAACACAGTTGTTTCCTATTATTATTTTACCTCTTCACTGAATGACTTTTGCAGCCTCCCCTGCTGTGCAGATTCATACTGTGTGTTTCTGTACTGTACGTACATAGTTATTTGATAGTTTGTCAATTTGTGTTTCGAAGAATAAAAGAACAAGCTGCACGTGCCAGGTCTAGATTGACTGGCTCTTTCATCAGCCAGTAGAATGACAATGTTTGCACAGTGAGATGTTAAGCAGTTTCCTGGCCTAGAGACAACATGGTACCAAAGCGTGCTTGATGGTTTTGGGTTGTAAATGGTGGCTGGTACAGTACAGCAGAGATGAATACATTACCTAAACAGATCTCAAACACATCACATCAGATTGGTGTGATAAGCTGGCCACGACTCACAGTGCTGCGCTGCTCCAGCTATACTGGACAAAAGTCTATTTGGTTTTATTGTTATTTGAGAGGAGAGTTTACTGCTTTCGCAATATGAATTCCTGACAGCAAATCTACTTTTCTTCTGAAATGATGTTTTGCTGGAAAGCACGTCATTCGTCTTCCTTTCATCTACAGTAGCTGTCACTGAGCAATCACCACAGTCTTGTGGACGCCTCTGTACAGCGTTAGCAATATGTATCAGAAAGAGATTTCAATTTGCACTTGAGTACCAGCTGCTACTTTAGAATGCCTGCAGTTAATTCTTCATGATTTTCATTTTTCTTTTTTTCCTAAGCAGCCAGATACTTCTGTACAGCAATAACTAGAGATTTGAAATGGTAACATCCAATCTCCAATGTCCAAAAGATTCCTCAAAACTGAATTGCAGGACACTCTGAAACAAGTAATAGTTTCTCAGGTGTGGTGCAGGTGCATCTCCTAAATGTGACCAGAATGACAAAAAGATTGATTTGTGTTATGGTCGACTCTGACAGGTTTTTTATCTCCGTATACAGAAAGAAACTATTCATCTCTACTCCGAGTCCTTGAGACAACAAGCATCTTTATAGGATATTCAACACTGACCATGTCTACCATTCTGCACCTATTAATCAATTATTAATCAAAAATGATTCCAACAATTTTAGATTTGAATGTAGTTGAAATACAATACTAAAACACTAAACGTATTGATTCACAATATTAAATAAAAACAAAGTTTACTTAATGACTTAAAAAGCCAGAGAGTATGTGAGCTGCCTCTTAAATATAAATCCAGAATATTTTCTTTTAATTGACAGAAGTGCTTGAATAATATAACCTAATCCAGCAGAAGCCAAAGTGTGGTCAGAGTGCACCAGGACTCAGAAAACCCACTAAAAGGTCTGTTACAATTATTCTTTTAGTTTCTTGCTTCCTGAATTCTCAGTGCTCCAGTGACAGCTCCACATTCTTCACTGTAGTATCTCTTCTAAATAATGTAGAGCAGTGTTCAGGAGCTGGCTTCAGAAATCACAATTTCATATTCCCTTTTGGGATGATATATGTGTCATTAATCACCGGCTCTTTGTGAGGGCTCTCCGAGTCTGAAGATAAAGACAAATACATCCTCCAGAGAGGCTTGGCCGACTACTCATCTCCCTCTTCCTCCTCCTCGCAGTGCTGGAACTTTTCCAGAATGACTTGCTTGTTGCTTCATGCAGTCTTTCCTTATTTCTGTATAGATCAAAGCTGCATCTCTCGAGTCACTTGTTTAACCTAGAACATGATCCAGATGTCTAAGGAATTGCTTGGCTCATGGGCATACTCACAGTCCTGGGAGCTTGCAGAGGAGGTTGGGTGTAATACATTCACATGACATCTGAGCACCTTCAGAGGCAAACCCTCTTTTTTATCAAGACTGGCCAGAGGGACAATACAGAATGAAGCCAGGAGACGCTATTAAATCTTGATTGCAGCCATATCCTACACGAGCTATCATTTTCATTGCTGACATCCGCAGTCCGGTTTCAAAAGCTGAACATGTCAAGGGTAATGTGAAAACAAGTGTGAGAATCTAGGCTGGTGTATTAAAGCAGTGCCTTCTAGCAGAGCTACAAAAAATGGTTTTGAGACATGGGCAAGGCACTGCTTGAGAGTCTGTGTATCCGTGTCCGTGTAAACTGTGCTCTTCAACACTTATGAATATTACTGCACAACAATGACAAATGCTCAGTAAATGTAGTGAATGTCCAGCCATTGAAAGAATCAAACTGTGGAGAACGTTATAGGCTAGTTTGCACATGATCACAGTATTTATGTCTGCATGGAGTTTCAAACATAAGATCGGGGGAGATCAAACCCTGCTCTCAACCACCTCCACCTCCCTGCATGTAACTATTACACTTCTCACACGTTTCTCCATTGAATCTGTTCCTCTGCCCCATCTTGGCCCGTGCTGCAGCTCCCTGGCTCATTCTCCATTGAAAAGAGAGGGTTCCAACAGGTTCATTCCCCTCAGGGGGAGGGAGTTAACCCAGTGAATCTCACCAGTCCATTCACGCCTCTTCTCCGCATTGATTAGGGATTGAGCAAACTACTGAGATAAATAATATTTATAAGGAAACAAAATATGTTTAATGGTTCAATGATAGCAAATGGATGTTGCATTGAAGAGGCTGGTTATAGTCCACAAGCTCCCAAAAGCCTGCTGTGCACCAGAAGTAAAATTCTCCTCTCTAATTGAAGGAGTTCAATAAATCACAATTTTGGGCTGTACCAAAAATACCTCTTAACATCCACAGGACATTTTTATAGGAAAGGCTTTGCTCTCTGTAGCTTTGAAAGGTAGAGGCTGCATCTCTTTGCTGGATTCAGTTTCATTGTGGCTTGATCTGGCTTTTCGTGAAGAAGAGAGCTGCTATCATATATTTGACTCTTAGCACTAAATGCCTGGAAGCCCAGGGTCCTGATTACCAGCCTGCATTGTGACTGGCGTCCTCAGGTTACACCCCAAGATCAGATGACATTTAATGTAGACAAGTGCAGATTGTGACATACAGATAGAAGAAACACACTATAAATATAAGATAAGAAACACAGAAGAAGCTACTGCTGAAAAAGATAATTCTGATGTTCTAGACAATGTGGGGAAACAATGGATAAGGCACACAACAATAGCATATATAGTGGTATAGTGTATAGAAATTAAATCAAGGGGTATTATGTTAGAATTGGGCTTTACATTAGTAAGACCTCATTCAGAACATTATATATAATTGTGGTCACCACGTTACAAAAGACACACTGCTACTCGGGAAGCTGTCCAGACAAGAGGCATCAGATCCGTCTTTGCACTCAGAGGTATTGTCGACTCCGTCAGGTTAAAGGAACAGGATCTATTTAGTCTCGAGCACAGAGGGCGTGGGGAGATTTGATTTGAGTATTCAAGATCCCGAAGAGATTCAGCAAAGGCAGCCCAGAATCAAGAGGGGAACATGAACATGATTCGCTATAGGCAAATCAGAGGATTACTGAGAGGAGGAGGTTGCGTCGCTTACACAAAGTGTGGTAGGAGTCGCCGGCTTCCTTTTAGAAATGAGCTGGCTTTCCTGAACAGACAATCTTCATGTCCGCTTACTCTCACTCACAGCACAGGCAGTGTCTAGAGCACAGTGCACCTCCTCCCTCAGCTGTGCTATTTCTTTACTGTATCATTTGTTTCAGTGAGACACTATTCGCCTCTGCTCTGCGTCCTTGGGGAGACGTGT